TCAAGGGGAAATTGAATTTATGCTCCTGTAATAATTTATATTAGCCTATGTGAACTCTTCATCCCTGCATAAATTGGTCATTCTGTGAGCTGACGCTCATCTTGGCTACAACAACATACAGACAAAAATTTTCCCACAAAAACAATATTCTTCCATAATTTTATTGAACATGTAAAGAGCAGGGTGGGAACGTATGCTAACCTCCTTTGGCAACAAAACCTCAACCAAACCTTTCCTGTAGGTACAATCAGACCTGTACAATGCTCAGGGGGATTTTTGGACCATTTCTAAAATTGCTTCAGGGCAGCAATATTTTTCTTGAGATGTCTGGTGTGAATTGCTCTCATGAGGTCATGGCACAGCGGCCCCTTTGTGTTGAGGTCAGATCTGACGAAGCCACTGAAGAAGGCATAATGTATTTTCTTCTGCTGAAAGAATTGTGTGATAATTTCTGTCCTATGGTTACTTTTCCCGTCGCTTCACCCATCTCCTCTTCAGCTTCAGTCGGCAGTTAGTCTTAAGTTCTCCTGCAAAATGTCTCGATGAACTTGGGAATTCATTTTTCGAGATGATAGCAATGCAGCCATAAAATACAAAGGAGATGCACATTTTGTACTTCAATTGACCAGAGTTGTGAAAAATATTCACTTTCATTTCTCAAGAAGTATAGATATTGAGGTTGAAAAATCTTTTAGTTGAAGTCTCAACTCCGCTTTTTACTTTAGTAAAAGTATAAATGTAATGGGAGGAAACCGGAGTGCCTGGAGAAAACCCACACAGGCACAGGGAGAACATGCAAACTCCACATAGGAAGGCCGGAGCCGGAATCGAACCACGCACTTCTGCACTCTGAGGCAGGCATGCTAACCTTTTCAATGCATACTTGTCGTCAGTCCTCCCCACCCACCAAATATATCAGGTGACTACAGTAGGTAAACGGGTGTGGCGCGTACGCACATATTTTGCACGGGGGATTCAACCCGGCAGGTGCAGCGGGCCCGTGGGATTTGACTCCCGCCCCGTGGAGTGGCAGCCCACAGCCAAGCGCATTTCCCACGCCGCGGTGCGCCAGAACGGGCTCAAGGTCTTCACTGCCCGAAACTCGTCACTTCTGATCCCGGCTCTGGCCTTCCTGTGTGGAGTTTTCATTTTCTGCCCAGGCCTGCGTGGGTTTTCTCCCACATTGCAAAAACATGCATGGCAGGCTGATTGAACATTTTAAACTGTCCCTTGGTGTGAATGTGAGCGTGGATGGTTGTTGGGCTGTTGTCTGGTTGTTTGTCTATGCCCAAAGACAGGTCCATCCCCCATTCAGCTCGGGTCCTCTACCAGAGGCCAGGAAGCTTGAGGGTTCTGCGCAGTATCCTTGCTGTTCCCAGCACTGCACATTTCTGGACTGAGATGTCCGATGTTGTTCCCGGGATCTGTTGCCACTCATCTAGTTTGGGGGTCACTGAGCCGAGTGCTCCGACCACCACAGGCGCGACTGTCACCTTTACCTTCCAGGCTCTCTCCAGCTCCTCTCTGAGCCCTTGGTATTTCTCGAGTTTCTCGTGTTCCTTCTTTCTGATGTTTCCATCACTTGGGACCGCTACATCCACTACAACGGCTTTCCTCTGCCCTTTATC